TTTTTTTTTTTTTTTTTTTTTTTGGTGGAAACAGGGATCGAAGTCAAGACTGTACTTGCAAAGCTGGTGTGGAACCACTGAGCTAAATCCCCAGCCCTGGAATAATATATTATTTAAGTACACTATTTAAGAAATTAGAACTCAGACTGGGGATTTAGCTCAGTGGTTCGGTCGCCTGCCTCACAAACACAAGGACCTGGGTTCAATCCCCGGTACCAAAAAAAAGAAATTAGAACTCATCCTGAAAAGGACAATTTAGATGATTCCTTTTGAGAACAGTCACAAAGTTACTGCATTTGACCCTCATAATAACTCTGAAGTAAACTTTTTTCCTTTATTTTCTTCCTTTCTTTATTCATTTTGAGACAGGAGCTCCCTATGTAATCCAGGCTGGCCTTGAACTCACTATTTAGTCCAGGCTGACCTCGAACAGGCTGCCATCCTCCTACCTCTACCTCCAGAGTGCTGGGATTACAGGTGTGAGCCACCACGCCAGCCTTTCTGAAGCACATATTAATTCTATTTTAGAGATGTGAAATCTAAGGCTCAGACAAAATTGGAATGAGGCTGGAAACAGCATAGAAACCACTCACGTCTGAAATTTCGTGATTCTTTAGAAAGCACTCTTGAAATTGAGGAAGGGATTGGGAGAAGGGAGGATTAAAGTGCCTTGAGAACTACAGGTTAGGAAGAATGCAACACTACAGCTGCACGCAAACTCCTCCTCGTGGACAGGCAAACAGTCTGTGGAAGGCTACGCAGGACACATGTCAGCTTTAACACTTGCAGAGCGGAGTGACGGACTCAACACCTGTCTGAACTCGTGGGATTAAAGAGCTGTGCACATGTGCAGAGCACGTGGAAGTGAAGCCTTTAGGCTGTGCAACAACAGATGTCAGCGGGGCGGATCCACAGAGCCCCGGGCTTAGTGAAAACAACGGTCCAGCACAGTGGTCCCCGGAACCAGGGAATCCCTGCCTCGGATCCCACGACTGCGGGGTCCGACGCGAGGTCTGGGCTCCACCTTCCCACCGCCGAGCCGTCGCCCCCGAGCTCGGGCAGGGCCGTGCCCGCCGTTACCTCGCACAGAGTGAAGAGTCCGTAGGCCGCCAGCCACACTGTGCAGGTGACAGCGGTGAGCAAGCGCAACGACAGCCGAGGGCAGCTGACGCAGAACTCCCGGCAGAACGGCGAGTAGTAGCGGAGCTGCAGAGCCAGACGGCCGCCGCAGATGTCCGAGAAACTCCTCTCCTCTTCCATGGCCGCCTGGCCCCAACCCAGGCGCGCCGCTCTAGCCCAGCCGGGGACAGAAAAGAACCGAGCGTGGGGCTTGGGCGATTTGGTGCTGTGGTTCTCAGCTCAGACCTTGTTTCCAGTTGTCTCTCTCCAAGGATTCCTAGGGAGCCAACACTTGCGGACTGATGAAAATTGTTGTTAACGTGCTTTCACTGTACAGACTGATTTCTGTTCCTAAACCAGATGAGCGCCAAGGAGATGGTCCACTAGGGTTCGTTCATTCCACTCCATTCCTGTGCAAGCAGTTTTAAATGCCTAGGATATTGACAAGGTCTCTGTCTCAAGTACTTTTTTTTCCCTAGTAGGACAAACGATCTCTAAACAATTTAAGATGGTGTTGGCAATAACGCACTGACCAGTAGGGATGGACTGGGACTTCCCGAGGCAGCCAGAAAAGGTCTCTGAAGTCCTCGGACGAGGTGCCACACTGGGGCGCACTGGAGAAGAACTTTGCCAGAAAGAAGGACCAAGAAAAACTCTGAGGCTGGAATGAATTTGCGTAGTTGAAGGAGGCCGAATGCCGAAGAGGTTGGAGCGTGGGTTAGCGTCTTGAGTTGGGGAGGCAGATAATGGTGAGATTGCAGGAGGTTCTCGTAGGTTCCTGCTAAAGAGTTTGGGTTTCATTGCCTGGGAATGCCCTCTCCCAGTCTACTGCCTGCAGCGTGTGTAGGCAGACAAGTCCTGGCTGTGAGTTACGAAGGCAAGAGGGGAGGTGCAGAAGGTCTGGACAACAAAATTACTAAACCCACGAGTAATAAGTGTCCTGCGGGTTCCCTTCTTACCTCAGATGCGGCCCAAAAGTGGTTGTGTGGCCTGGTGAAACAGTTGGAGTCCTTGAGCCCTGAGAAGCAGCAGCAGCAGGTATTAAAGAGATTATTGCTTTGTGTATAAAGATAAATGGTGTAGGGGCTGGGGATTTAGCTCAGTGGTTGGGTGGCCTGCCTTGTAAGCGCTAGGACCTGAGTTCGATCCCCAGTACCAAAAAAAAAAAAAAAAGATAAATGGTGTAAAGATCAAGTCTCGGAGATGAAAATCAGGCACGATTTCTTCACCTTCATATATTTATATTCTCTATCTGCCTTCTCCCTTTCCCTCCCTCCCTGAAATTTTTCCTTCCAGCATTCTTTCATTTTTCCAATTTAATTTCTGTACCCTGAATCTAAGTAATACATCGCTCTTATTAAATGTCTTTTATAATGTAGCCGGGCGTGGTGGCACACTCCTGTAATCCCAGCACTCGGGAGGCTGAGGCAGGAGAATCGCTGTGAGTTGTCTCACTACAGGTGCAGCAACCTTTCTGCCCCAGCCTCCCAAGTACTGGAATTACAGATGTGCCTCACCAAGCTTGCCTTAGTCTTGGCATTCTTAACTTTAGCTCCCTGGAGAGAATTGGGGTTTTGTCTTCAGTCTCATAAACTTCTTATTGAAATGTGACATTTGCTTTGATTATGAATGTAGGCAACAAACCAATTAGTATTAACAGTACTTAGGGTTTTTGTTACTGATTACAAATATTTTCATCCCATAATAATCATTATAGTTATCAAAATGTGATGTCCATTCATTGCCACTTCAAAACTGCAGAAATTACTAGAGGTACTACTAGATCTTGTTATTTAGTGAGTCAGTAAAGAGACATATTACTATAACATTTTCAAAATATTTTGATAAATATATTTTAATTCAGTTTGTTTTCTTTGAAATGCTGTGCATTTTATTCATGCATTATTATTAAACATTATTGTGACAAACAGTCCCTTAGCTTCACCAGTCTTGCAGAGGGTTTGTGGCACAAAAGATTCTAAAAAAGGGTAAGAAATTTCACAAGTAGCTGGCTTTGTTGTAACCCCAGCTATTGAGGAGGCTAAGATAAGACAATTGAAAGTTGGAGGCAACTTATCAAGACCCTGTCTCAAATTTTAAAAATAATTATTAGGAGTAATGTGGTAGTGTACACTGTTCTGTTCTGTCAGATCACAGCATTATCTTACTTCTTATGGAGTTTGGTGCTTCAGTAGAAGGTGAAAACGTGTATGTGCCATTTACCTTGATGCCAGATGAGATGTTGAGTGACCAGTTCTCTTGACCATGACCTTGTAAAAACAGCAAGGAGTGATTCTTTCACTCTCAGCAATGGACTTCAAAGTGCTTTCAAGCCTGAGAAGTCAAGTTCCATGTGGATAGCATTGGACAAGAAAGTGTAGCTGGTAGAAAGGCCTTACATTGAGCACTAGACAGGTTCCTTCAAGGAGATTGTGTATGTTTTCACAGGGTCATTCGAAGAATCTCAGCTAATTTCCCAGTGAATTCAGTTGCAGATAAGGATGGGAGAGGAATATTTGTCAAGGTAGGCAAACTGCTATAACAAAAGAAGTTCACAGTTTCAGTGGCTTACAAGATAAACGTTATATTGTCTGCCCACAGTTTCATATGTGTACTCCTGGTCGGATGACTCATAAATTTTGTCAAGTGGTGATTCAGGGACCCAAGTTCCTTCCATTTAGTGGCTTCATGGATCCCTGGGGCCTCCTCCTGGTCCTCGCCATTGAGTCCTCTGCATCTGGTCAACAGATGAGGGGCAAGCATGAAGGATTTACCTGTGGAAGGGTTTATGGCCAAACTATCCATATTCCACTGACCACTGCTCATCTAACGTAACAAAAGGCTGGGAATTGTGGTCTGTCAAAGTGCCTACTATATCCCTGAACCTATGGTAGATGCTAGAGATACAGTGGGGAGTATATTAGGGTTATCTAGCTGGTATAAAAACCAATCTCCCAATTTCTGTGATTTAACATAAGTTTATTTCTGGTTCACATGAAAGCCCAGTACAGGTATTTTTGCTAGATAGACACTATTTCTTCACACGGTGTTCCAGGGATCCAGAGCCATCCTTAGATACTGGTTCTCAACTTTAGCTACTCATTCAAATCTCCTAAAGAATGAAAAATACAGCCGGGCATGGTAGTGCATGCCTGTAATCCCAGCCCTTTGGAGGCTGAGGCAGGAGGATCGCTGTGAGTTCAAGACCAACCTGGGCTACATAGTGAGTTCCAGGTCAGGCTCAACTACATAGTGAGACCCTGTCTCAAAACAAAACAAAACAAAACAAAACAAAAAAACCCAAAAAGAATGAAAAATAGTTAGACCTACTTCCAGAAATTTAGTTGGCCTGTGGTACAACAGAGGTGCCAGAATATTTAAAGTTCTGGGATGATTCTAATAGTCAAGATTGAGAACCACTGCTTCTGTGCCCAAGAAGGAAAAGTACAAAGAAAGAATAGTAAAAGTGCATCTGCTTTTTTTCTTTTTCTTTTCTTTTGACAGTTTCTTGCTATATTGCCCAGGTTGGCCTTGAACTCCTGCTCAAGTGATTATCCTGCTGCAACCTTATGAGTAGCTGAGATTACAAACACAGCAATGCTGGGCTACATCTGCTTTTTAACTGTTGTGGTCGGAAAGTGACACATGTATAAAAAAAAAGTGCTCACTGCCACCGCCACCACTGAGATTATATGAACTGTAGATTCTTGGGTCTCATCTCAGACCTACATTAATTTAAAATTTGTATTTTTTTTTTTTTTTTTTTTTTTTTTTGGTACTGGGGATCAAACTTGGGTCCTTGTACCTGCAAGGCAGGCGCCAGAACCACTGAGATAAATCCCCAGCCCCAGAATCTGAATTTTAACAAGATCTTCAGGTGATTTCTTTGGAAATGAAAATTTGAGAAGCACTGAAATATATAACTCAATATCAGATTCTCTACCCTGACTGCATGTTGAAATCACCTGAAGTGTTCTGTATTATTTTTAAAAAAGGTTTCACATGTTTATTGTTTGTTTGTTTGTTTTGGTACCAGGGATCAAACTCAGGACCTTGTGCTTGCAAGGCAGGTGCAATGCCACTGAGCTAAATCCCCAGCCCTGCATGTTTATTGTTGACTCATTAGTGTTGACCACAGAAAAAGAAAGATCAAGATTGCCGATTAAACATGTTCAACTATATGGCGAGTGTTTTTGTTTTTTAGCTTAATATAATGAGATGATTTAGACTTTGAAACAGCGTGTCATCTTGTAGCCTCCATATGTTGCAGCTCATTCATAATTCCTTTTAGTTCTAGCTTGGTCCTCCTCCAGTGTGTCCTTGTCTTAGTTACTTTTCTCATTGCTGGGACAAAACACCTGACACCCACAAGTTAAAGGAGGAAAAGTTTATTTTTATCTCACAGTTTATAGAGGTTTTAGTCCATAGTCAGCTGTCTCCAAGGCAGGGCAGCATGGCAGAGGGGAAGCAGTCCACAGCAGGCAGGCAGGCAGGCAGGAGCCAGAAAGCAGTGAGCTTCCCTTTCCCTTGTATCCCATCTAGGCTATAAGCCTATTGGATGATGCCACACACACACAGGATGGGCCTTCACATTATCCATACCCAGAACTATGCTAAACCGATCAGTTGACTAATCCATTTATCATACCCTTAATCCAGTACTACATATCCACGATCTAGCCACACTCAAAAGCCCCACCTGGAAAAGCATGAGGCTTTGGGGACATTTTAGAGTTTTATGTGCTTTTATTATCAGTTTTCATCCAAATCCATTGAGGAATGCGATCATTTTGCCTTTGTTTCTTGGCTAGGAATCAATTGCTTGATTCTGACAATCAGATCTGACAATCTGAAAAGAAGGGTCAGAATGGGAGGCAAGGGCATGCACCACAGTGGTAGGCAAAACAGAAGGGCCTGCAGAGCTTTACAAACTTGTGTCTGGGTCCTTCCCTTGTTATTAAATCAGAATGAGAGGATCGTGAATATATATTTTTTAAAACCCTCAAGTTCTGTTGTTTTTAAGGCAGGGTCCTGCCATATAATTAGGATGGTGTTGAACTCAAGATCCATGGTAGAAGTGGCAAGGCAGCTCTTTAGGCTTTTTTTTTTTTTTTAAATAAGAATATTGAGTAGGAAAAAAGTTTGTTTCTCCAAAGTTTCCTTACAACATGTCTGTGACCAAATGTATGTGACTACCCCGACAAGCAATGCAGTAGAGTAATACCTTGGTTCATGAAGGCTTCTATTTAGAAGTTCCTGAACAGAAGTATTTGGTAAAATTTTTCTTCCCTTTGTGAACTCCTTATCAGGTGACAAACATGACCATGGCCATCTTCCCTGCACAAATACGAATGTGGCCATATTCCCCAGAATTGTGGAAGGAATTAAGTTCATGAACCAAGGCACCACTGTAATTTTTGTTTGTTTTGTTTTACTAAGACAGGATCTTGCCATGTAGTTCAGGCTGGCATTGAACTCACTATGTAGCCCAGGCTGGTCTTGAACTCATGGCGATCCTCCTGAATGCTGAGATACAGGCGTGTACCACCACACCTGGCTAAGTAATGCAGCTCTGACAATACCTGGAAGTAATGTCAGGTCCCACAGGCTGAGAACTCAGTCCTACAGGTTACCCCACCACCACTTAAGATACCAGCTGCAAGTCTGGACTTCTGGACCTTCTGATTGACCACTATAAATTAAGGTTTCCTCAACCCCTTGCTCAAGTTTGACTGATTTGTTAGAGTGGCTCACAGAATTCAGGGAGACATTTTACTTATGTTTACTCATTTAATACAGAGCATATTTTAAAGGACATTGTCAACAACAACAAAAAATCATAAGGAAAGAACTCAAAACAAAAAGGGAGGTTTTATTTCACAATACAAACAGTGTTGGCACATGCCTGTGATTTTTTTTTTTTTTTTTTTTTTTTTTTATGGTACAGGGATTGAACTTGGTTCCTTGTGCTTGCAAAGCAAGCGGCAGAATTACTGAGCTAAATCCCTGGCCACATGCCTATAATTCTAGCACTCTGCGTGGCTAAGGCAGGAGAAGTACAAGTTCTAGCAATTTAATGATTTAGCAAGATCCTGCCTCAAAATAAATAAAATTCAATAAAGTCTGGGGATATAGCTCAGTGAAAAAGCCCTTGGTTCTGGGTTCAATCTCTAGTGTTGCTGGGTGTGGTGGCACACGCCTTCAATCCCAGTACTTTAGGAGGCTGAAATAGGAGGATCCACAAGTTCAATGCCAGCTACATAGTGAGTTCAGCCAGCCTGAAGTACATAGTGAGACCTTGTCTCAGAAAACAAAACAAAAACTCCAGTTAAAGGGGTGGCAGTTTGCAAATCAGAGAGAAGCCTTCAGTACAAAACTCTACTAAGGAGAGATCCTGGCTTATACAATATTCCTACCTGGTTCTCACTCTGGTCTCCTATACAAATGAGTGATATAAGCCAAGAAGTACTCGGTCCTGATTGGTTGATATTTACATTTGACTTCAGGGCCGAAGGTAGTAGAGCGAGTGGTAGAGCATTTGCCTAGCATGCAAGGCCCTGAGTTTGATCTTCAGCATTACAAAAAAAAGGAAAATATAAAAAGTATAAATTTGACTGTAGGTGGCAAAGGTATTTCTTGAAGGCTGTTTATCTTGGCAGTTGAAACAGGAACATGCCTGAGCAAGGGCCACAAAGTTCAATTTATGGTTCTTCCAAGAACAGAGTACATGTGTGACAGCTAGTTGGCAAATGACTATCAGCCTCTATAGGCTTAGTCACTTGGACCCTTTTTCTTCCAGAAGTGTACCAAGTGATACTTGGACATAGAGAGTTCTGCTTAATATCTTATGTGTCCGCAGTTCCCAGGTTTTTGGCTACCTGTGATGACACGCTAACACCTGTGTCTCTTGGAGGGCAGGGATCAAAGAGCTTGATCACAAAGCTAAACAAAAACAAAAATTATTCAGTATCTTTGGGTAAGGATTTTTAAAAATCCAAAAAATTGTTATGTTGATCTCATTATGCAAAATGCATTCAGTCCATCTCCAAGAGTTGTTAACATCTTAACAGTTCAAGCATTGCTTTGAAGTCTAAGTACAAACATGACACTTGTGGAAAACTCTTAGCTGTGAGGCCTTGTGAAAATAAAAAACAGGTTATATATTCCCAAGATAAAATGGCCAGGGTAAATACTCACCTTCCAAAAAGGAACAATGGAAGTACAGAAGAGAACCAGATCACAGCGACACTGAAACCCAGAAGGGAGGACAGTGCCAAGGTTTGCTGCCAGCAAGAGTAATGGTTGGGTCCCCTTGGGCCACAGTTGAAGCAGCCCTTGTGTGCCTGGATGGCTGAACTCAGGGAAGTACTTTCCTAGTGGCCCTGAGTGAGCAAGGTACCTTCAAAGCAAAGACTTTCAAAAGAATATACACTTTTTTTTTTTTTTTAGTACCGGTGATTGAACCTAGTGTCTTCATACTGAGCTACATCCCCAGAACCCCCACCACCACCAACTTTTTATTTATTTATTTAGGTACAAGGGACCAAAGTCGGACCTTGCACTTGTGAGGCAGGGGTGGCATCATGAATTTAATCCCTGGCCCTATCCTTTATTTTTATTTTGTTTTGGATTTTTTGCTTTTGTGTTTGTTTGTTTTTTGAAACAGGGTTTCGCTACGTAGTTCAGGCTGGCTTCAAACTCATGGTGATCCTCCTGCCTCAGCCTCTGGGAACCTGGAATTACAGGTGTGCACCACCAAACCTGACCCTGGTTTAGGGATGGAACTCCTGACCTTGCGCTTGTGAGGCCAGTGGTGGAACCCCTGGGCTAAATCCCTGGCTCAAACTGGTTTCTTTTTTAATGGTTCTAATCTCTTCAGCAACCACACCTCTTTTGGCTCCAACTTTATAGGTACTTTTTGTGTGGCCAAACTACAAGTTTTTCATGTTTTTTTCTCCCCTGCTTTTTTCTCCTAGATCTCACTGTAATTCAGCAGTACCTATGCCACAACCTGAATGTTTGGCTGCCTTGCAATTTCCTCTACTAGATAAATTAATCTACCACCTTTAAATTTAGTCTCCCACAAAGTCTCAGGACACAGATAAAGTATGGATGAATTCCTTGCCAGAATGTAACATGCATGGCCTGTAGTCTAATTCCCAGTAAAGCTCTCATTCCTTTCCAAAATCTCAAGCACAGGGCTGGGGATTTAGCTCAGTGGTTCTGCTGTCTGCCTTGTAAGCACAAGGACCAATGTTCAATCCCTGATACCCAAAACCAAAAAACAAATGAAATCTTAAGCACAATGTTTTGTTCTATTTTTTGGAACAGGGTCTCGCTGTGTAGTCCAGGCTGGCCTTGAACTCACTGTGCAGCCCAGGCTGGCTCTGAATTTGCAGCAATCCTCCTGCCTCAGCCTCCTGAGTACTGGGATCACAGGCGTGCACCACCATGTCTGGCTCTCATGAGCACAATGTTTACTGTCCATATTTCTAGTGACATTCTGGTCTTCTGAGCTCTGACAAGAATTATCCATCTTTCTCTGCTTTCAGCATTCTAGCCTACATGTAAACCTTTCCAAACTCCTCACACATACTCGTTCCAAAGGCTTCTGAACTACTTAGTCAAGTGTAGTCACAGCAGTCACCTCATGTCTCGGTGCCAATTTTTTGTAT